GGTACCATGTATGCCAACAACTCGGCGTACACGCACACCTCCTTCCTGCACTTCCTTCAGGAATTGTGGGGTCTGGAGGGACTGAACAACCGCGTGCAATGGGCCAAAACCTTCGAATACGTCTTCTCGAGCGAGAAGCGCGACGACACACCGGAGAAGTTGACGACGCCGACCTGGTACGGCAGCAGCTGGGAGCCGAAGCCGGATCCATACTACAAGCTGAACCAGGATTATGACTATTACGAGAACCTCGATTAAACTCATGATGATGAGACGGATGAGATGTGACTAACATTATGATGACTGCAAATATGCAAATATGCAAGTTGATTTTGAAATCGAGTCAAAACGATTCGTTGATTCATGTATCTCGTCAGCAAAAAGAAGAGGGAAAAAAAGAAGCGATAGCCGCATAATGCATAGCTAATAACGAATGCAAGCCAGCGTGTACAGCATAGCAGAGCATAATACCACCCGCACGCACCCCATGCAGAAGAAAACCCAACCCACCAGAAAACTCCAGTCCCCAATCCCCAGTATTATATAAACCCCAACCCCAAAGTTCATCAAACTCATCATTGCCCCTTCTTATCCCCTTCGCCCTCCTGACCCTGCTGATACCCAGCCCACTCCCCAAGCTTCCCCGCCGCACTCCAAAACCGATCTCTCAACCCGTCATCACTGCCCCCAGCGCCATTCTCATTCCAATTCGTCGGCTTCGTCATATCCCACAATCGACTCTTATACGCAGGGAAGGAGGTATGATTCCACATGTTGACGAGGATACTATACCCAAACAAAAAACACATTATTAGCTTCATCAGGACCAGAAGGGGGGGGGGGGCAAGAATATTGAGGAAGGGGATATATATATACCTCTGACTCCGATCCAAATAATCCTCATCCTTCAACTCCTTCACACCAACGGTGACTCCATCCCGAGAGAATGTGACATTCTTCTTCTCCATCTTGGATCGCGTGTTGCGCTTCACATCTTGGATGATCGAGTAGGTGATGTAGAAGATTGTGCCCAGGATGAGGAGCACGAAGAGGAGGATGAAGAGGGGGTAGAGGCGTGTCATTATTTTTAAATCCTTTTATTCTTTTTAAACTCGTAGGGTTGCGCTTGTTGTTGTGGTGGTGTTGTGGTGTGGTAGATGGGTAGAAGGGAAGTGAGAAGTGAAATGTGGTGTGCGGCTGTTTGACCTTATAAGGCGTAGGGCTGATCTTGAGTTGGAACTTGAGTAGTTGAACACGAACACGAACACCAACACCTTATATATAATTAACCCACACGAGGGGTATTTAACTTATTATTAATTTCAATCCTTGGGAGTGGGGTGGGGGGGGGAAGTATTTGTGGCTTTGACACGAGAAGAAAAAAAAAAGATTAGTGACAAAAAAAGAGCAAAAGCTGTAAGGTCACTGTGTAAAGAGTGTGAGGGAAAGGAGAAAAAGCATGAAAGATGGTTTCTCTCCTCAAATTCAAGTTTAACCCAAGGGAAGGAAAGTATGCGTGTGGCTTTGCGTGCGTAACTCGGACAATAATGCCAAGGCTGTGTGCGGGGCGTAAGGAAAATGCCTTGTGAACTATTTTTCCTATTTCCACCAACAGGGAATTCGGGTGCCTAGGATGCCTAGACTATACACTGCTGTTATTTTGTAGGTTGGTGTGGCTTGGTAAGAGGAGACCAGGATATGAAGAATGGCTGTGTAGGTGGAAAGTTGAAGTATTTATAGTAGTGCTAGTATTGGGGGAATATGTATGAAGAGCAGGGATGGATGGATGATATATATGGATGGCTGGATGCAGGTCATGCAGTCAATTTCGGTTTTCCATCTATCAGCATAAACATTACCCGATTAGGTATGCAGAGCGTTGATTTGGGTTTGTGGGAAGGGGGGGGAAAGCGGGAAGGGATGATGAATTGGGATGGGATGCCTGCAGGGTTCGGTAGTTCGTTTGTGACATTTGCAATAATATGGTTATCGAAGTATTAGTACTACGTAGTCAGTGCTAAGCAGAACTGTCATCTGATTTGACACCTGATTGATTGTTTAATTTGCTGATGATTGATGAAAAGGTGTGTGTGTTTATGTAAGTATGTAAGGTACGGTGGAAACGTGACCACAATCTATCTCACCAGTGAACATATCACAATTCTTACAAGTAAAATACTCAAACTCGAATCTATTCTAGTATATAATTTTATCTATAGAATAATAACTAACAGGCACAAGATATTCTATGAAATAACCATGCATAACCCCCCCTTATCATGCAGTTTCAACTCTAGCTACTACAGTTAAGTAGTAGTATGCTGCATACATGATTCATGATGACGACACTGCACTCTCCCTCTCAGCAACTAGTAGGAATATACTACATGAACACTTGAACACAACACCAACCAGAAAAGTCCTCCCCCATCCCATCCCATCCCAATCCTTTACTCTCTACTAGTATCTCCCCTTAATCCCTCTAATACATAATAACTCAATTAAACCCATACCTTGATATAAAACCACAGAACCATGTGCGACATCCCTTTCCTCCCCATCTTCCCCATCTGCTTCCAATGCGGAACAGACCAAAACCCATGTCGCTGTAAGGTCGTGGGGCCGACATTAGGTATATTCCTTCCTATTCCCCCTCAGAGGACCATTGTTTCATATTTAAGTATGCTAATAACTCCTTCAGGCTTTATTTGTACGGTGGTTGCGGCTGTATGTAAATTTCGATCACAACTTATTTGCCTTCGCAATGGCTTGAATTGGATTGACAACTAACTCACTCACTGCAGGTCATTTGCTATCCGGCGTCAATTTTCTGTGGTTGTTGTTTGACGCAGACGGGGAAGGAGTATGTCTTTCTCTCTTTCTATCTGTTCTGCCATGTCTACTGCGTATACTGACGTCTTTACTAGTGTCCTTGGGTATCCGGTCAAAGTCAATGGGGCTGTGAGCAACGCAATACCCATCTAGTATCCTAGTAATCTGGTAATCTAGTAATATAGCTACATCTTATCAATAGGTAGACTCGGCATATATTCATCAGAACATTAACATTATCATACTAGCTATCGATGCTCCGTGGAGCAGCAATAAACCAAACAAGCCGTAGCAATTATACGAGCCATGCAAACAGGTATCCAGTCAACGTGAAAAGCATAAAACCCCCATTCCACCTCCCATTATACACCCGGGTCATTATCATAGAAGCCATATCATTGCATCCCTCTTAAACCGATTTCAGCTTCTCCTTCAGTCGTGAGAAAAAGCCCTTCTTTTTCTTCTTCTCTTCCTTGCCATTCGTCGTCGCTCCAGCGGCATTGTTGGTAGCCGGCTTCGAGGTGGCTGCCGCATTGCTGGTCGGCGCGGACTCTGCTGGTTTGCTGGTACCACTGGTCGGTGCACCGCTGGTCCCGGTGGGATCGGCAGTCTTCGTTGCGCTGGCCCCCGTGGCACCAGCTGTCGGAGCAGGCGTCGTCTCGTCGGGAGCAATGCCACTCTCTACGCCAGAGTCGACAGTCTTGGTCGCACTCGCTCCCGTCGCACCAGCAGCGGGCTTCGTTGGAATCTCAGTGGTGTCCTCACGGCCAGATGCGCCAGGTCCAGACTCTTCAGGAGCCTTCGATGTGGCTACTCCGGTGGTCACCGTGGGCCCATCTGTAGGGGTAGTGGCCCTGGGAGAAACTTGGGCCGAAGCCGACTCAGCACCAGTAGCACGCGGCGCGCTCCCTGAAGCAGGTTCAGCACCAGACGCTCCGGGTGCTCTCTCAGAAGTGGCAGCCGTGATCACAGGTGCGGGTGTGCCAGACTGATTGCTCACGGGAACCTTCTGTTGAAGCTCTTCTTCGACTTCTCTCTTCTCTTCGACAGTCTCCTCGACACCTGCTGCCTCCGGATCCCGATGAGCTTCAGAGATCGACTGCTTCACCACATCTGGGACATCGTGGGCCGGCAACCCGCTGGTTGTCTCTTTCTGAGAGCTCTGTGCAGCGGTAGCTCCAGCCAAAGCGCCCAGACCGGTAGTGGTGCCCATACCAGTAGCAACGTCAAGGCCAGTGGAAGGACCAAGGTTGGTCGAAGGAGCAGCCCCGGCAGTGAATCCAAGTCCAGATGAAGTACCAAGCCCAGCAACAGTGGTAGGCGCCGGCGCGCCAGTCGAGTTGTCCACCGGAACTTTCCTTCGAAGTTCCTCTTCCATCTCTTTCTTCTCATCGACAGCCTCCTTGTTGGTGGCCGCCTCAGGGTCCCGATGGGCTTCAGACATCGATTGGCTCACCACATCCGGGACATCTCTCGTGGGCACTCGGCTGCTTGTTTGTCGCTGAGACTCCAGCGGGACAGCAGCTGCAAGCCCAGCAGTCGTAGACGTCGGTGCAGCCGACTGGATTGTGTAGGTGGGATCAGTCGCTCCCTGGTTTTCACCCATTGGCAGACTAGACTCGGGGATCATGTTCTTGGACACCGGGGGAATCGCAAAGGCACTGGCATCATAAGCAGGGCTTCCGGGAAATCCGCCACTGGTGCCCTGCTCATAGCCGGCCCGGTCGGTACGTGCGGTTGAAGAAATGGTGTTCGTGTTGAAGGTGCTGGGATCAGGCACCTTCTCGCCCGGGTTCAGCTTGATCGGGTTTCCCGCGCCACTGGACGCCGGAATGGGATTCACGGAGAACTTGTCAGCTTCGCTGGCTGGGGTAATGGGATACGAGCCAGGGACATTGGCCCTCTGCTCGAGCGGCACATCCTGGCCGAGCGCGGCAGTAGTCGACCCCGGAGCGGCCGATGAGATGGTGGGATAGTATCCATTCTGTCCTTGTTTGCTGCTGGACTCCTTGGGGACTCCGGCTGCCAATGCAGCGGTTGTCGAGCCTGGTGTGACCCCGGCCATATCTGCAGTGCCGTTTAATAAAGGTGTGGTTGATTCTTTAAGGATTTGGTCGGGATAGAGAACGTTGTTGATATTGCTACTGCCGTCGTCTTCTTCGGGAGCTCTGTTATCGGTGGTCCAGATGCCGTCAACGACGAACTATGAACCATAGAAAAAACAATTGTTAGTTTGTGGAACCAATGCAACGATGACGCTGACAAGGGAGTCTTATAGTTTTGGGGGGGAAGAGAGTAGGGAAACATGAGAGGGGGAAACCACGCCCGTCCGCGACTGGCGGCGACATGACGTCAGTCCACGGATGGAGCGTCATCGCGCGATGGAACTTGATAAGCAGGACAGGCAGAGGGACTGGAAGAGGAACGGGATCCTCACGATGAGTTTCCCCATCAAAGGACGTAATCCTCGGCGGGAAGTACAAATAATGGGCATGGCAAGCAAATCAGGACAGGGAACGGCTCTGCGCCATAAAAGTCATGTGCAGAGCATGCGACTGCTGTCTCACCTTGTAGTGCACCTTTTCATCCGTCACTGGCAACGGAACTTCCTTCTCAAAGACATCGCCTACGCGATCCAATTTGACTGTCTTGCCCCAATCATCAAACGTGCCGGTGACAAACACTTCGTTCGCACTGTACGGCCTGGTCGCATGCGAGGATCCGCATCGGTCAGCGATCAAATCCACCCGAGAGTTTCAAGCTCATGACGCTGAAGAAAGCTAGGCTTTGATCCATACGTGCTTGTCGCTTGGTACGGAAGGTGTCGGATAGAATAGAATTTCCACAAGGAGGACCGTGGAGTGGCTGATCCCCCACAATTGGAGGTTCCAGAGGATGGGAGAATGGGATCTGTCACTTACCATGTAAATGTGTAGCTCCCCATCTTTACGGCGGGTGGGCTTTGGATCCCCCAAACTCAAGACAATAGATGTGGTGGGAGCAGGAACTTGTCAGCAGCAGTGACTGTAGTAGGAACGGAGGGATAACGAAGAAGAGCTAAACGCTCGGAGCAAACAGGATAAAATAAAAAAAAAAAAAATTTAAAGAATGGTAGAAATGGGGTATGGAAGAGGCTGGGAACGGCGATAAAGTGTTGCTGGGAAAAAGACGGAGAGGGGAGAGAGAGAGAGATGGAGCGGGGGCTGTTCGGTCGCACACAGACCGTCACCGGTCGGACTCTTTGGCAGGAAGTATTGACTGGAAAGAAAGTAGGTTCGCTGTAAGAAGCCGCCACTTGGATGTTCCTGGTGTCAAAATTGATCAAGGCGAAACAGCAAGCAACAGCATACACACACACACGCAATGATTTTCGCCGTGGCTTATTCTGTGTCGAGGATTCGGTAATGATGAATCTTAAGCAAGCCTCGCGGAATAACACATGGATTGAGTCACCGTACCGGAAGAAATTCTAAGACACTCCCAGTGGCTGCCAGCTCTTTGCCAGCCCGTGTACAACTCAGCGCAGCGACAGCTGGCATCTTATCGCGCTAGACTTGGCCAGTTTCATCAGAACCTTGTTGTGGGAAACCAAAGTGTCCGTTGGTATGGAGGCTCGTGCAGGGCTGCATTCCTGCCCGTAGTCACAGCCATTCGCCTTGCCTTTTGGCGCATCTTTCCCAGGGGCTTCTCCCAGGCCAGAGTTTCTACTGGATGAAGCATGTAGATGGTACCTGACGGTCCTGATTAAATCACCCACATTGCTTTACATATTAATCCCGTACAGATTACAGAGGGCATGAGAGTAAGTTATTCAACATATGCACTGTGAGGGCCTGGAAAACTTTATATGGTCCGTGTAGATCCCAACCCACAGCCGAAGTACTAGACTGGACTACTACTACTACTACACTGTAAGACTGAAAGGTCCAGTCCAGTCATCTATGTGACTGTTGGCGAACTTGCATTAGGCACTCGCCCCGCCCACCCCCCTCCCTTTTTGTTGGAAGTTTTCACGCCAACAGATAACCGCCCTGTTTGTATTATTGTTTTAGGGCTATGATCATGAGAATAGGAGCTGGCCTTTTGGCTGGCGGTAAGACGAAGCGCTGGAGTGGATGAAATTCAACACCCTTTCACTCTCTTCTTGTCTTTCCATCCTCCACCAACAGCACTCCCGGCGCTAATCCTGATCCAGAGAGCACGGACAGCAGCTAGTCCGCACAAGGAATAGGCCAAGTCGACGAACCAAGAATGCGATAACGGCTAGAACGCTAACCGGATTGGGCTTGGGAGGGAAGGTCGGTTCGAATGAAGCCAAAAGCAGCAACGAGTTCATGGATCCATGGGAGCTCTGTGTGTCTGATAGCTCTCATTGCCTGCCGAATTGGCAAACAGCAGACCGTTACCTTGATCTTTCAGTGGAGATGATGGCACTTTGACACCTCGAAGTGGCTGACGGAACCACTTGCCCTGTCAGAATGGTGGCTCTCACAGCAAACGTCAACGAACGGATAGTCTACCCTGGCTATGACCTCAGCGAGCAGATCATCCGAACGGAGAGCAGACTCACAAACGCAAGCACCACTTCGTTCGCCACCTGCGTCGGGCCTGATGAGAGAATCAGAACCCCCCAATGAGCCAATTATCTGCATCGAGACCGACCTTTGATTGAATTGGGATGGGCAGGAATGATGCTTGGTCGGCAGTGAGTGTCTCCTTTTTGCGTCTGCTTGGCCTGGACTAATTGCGATTCCCCGCCCCCTTTGTTGTTGGTCGGTTCAAGGGTCTGATTGTCAATCTCAATCACGGCGCCGGTGGCGCAACGCAACGCAACCCAGTGCTGGCTGGCACTCTGACCGGCCCTCCTATTCCGAATACCGCAATGTTCTAGAAACCGTCTGGAAGCCCCTGGGAGGGCCGATCGAAGCTTCCACCTCTTCCACATCGCGTCCGTTCCCGGTCGACTGGGCTGAAGGATTCGGAGGTCTGGGGCCCATCGTCCACGTCTCCTTTTCGTTTTCACCTTCTGGAACACGCTGAGACGGTGCTAGTCCGATCGACTACGCCCGACTATGGATTTCATTTGATAATACCTAGGAACGGAGACAGACTATTGACCCAAGGCCGTCAGCTATTGAAGTAGTGGACTGGACTAGCGGGGTGTCCGTGACGTCGATCGAGCCGTCTGAGCCATCTTGTCCTAGCGATGGAGGTTCTCAACGCATCCGAAATTTAGTCCGTTGCCCTTAATTAAGGAGGTGAGTCTACTAGTAAGAACGGAGGGTGGCCTGAGTGATAATGGTGGTGGTGGGGGGTTTGACAAGGGCACCACCGGGGAGTTCTCCGAAGGATGGTGTGTACAGTAGTAGGATAGAGCCGAACTCCTGGAATGGAATAGACTGAGAAAGGGGGGGGAGAAGGGAGATGAATAGCATGAAAAGGGAAATAAAAATGAAAATGAAAAATCATGATTTCCCACTGCAAATAGAAGTAGAGAGTGATATGATCATGAGAGGACTTTACTTTTTAGACGCGAGTCATATAATAATCCATCCATCATCCAGTTTGGCTTTTTTGGTTTGCTCCCCGCCTTTTTCATGGTTCTTCATTAATTCATTTCCCCTCCCTTTTTCTGCAACCCCTCCGGATCAAGTTCCCTGCGTATCACCACTTCACCACCACCACCCCTTTTCTGGCGCCATTCAATCTCATTTAAAAGCCACCCCCATTAAACTGTCTAGAAGGCTTCCATCCCGAGATTAGGTGTTTCTGCCATTTTTCTAGCCGGTCCCCCAACCCTTCCATTGTCTGCAAATCCCACGCGACCGAGAAGCCGCTGAAGTCTCACTGGTAAGGGAATCCCTTCTCCCAAAGCTACTCTCCATTAAACTTCTGCCGTGTTGCCCCTCCAAAGCTTGCCCGGTGATTTTCCTTTCCCACTGTGATTGTTGTGCTTCACACTGGACTCATTTTATTTATCTAATTTTTCTTTTTATTGTGTATTTCACTATCATATTCCTCAAGCTTTGTTACCTTTTTTTTTTTTTTTTCTTTCTTATTTTCTGTACCTACATTGCTTGTATTGCTTCGTGAGATCTACTCTACACCAGAACAGCTCTAGCCAGCTATCTACGAGCAAAACAGCTCCCTCCCTCCGCCAGAAGAAAGCTTCAGAGGCTCCGAAGCAGAAAAACGTACCACGGCGGACATCCAATAAGGCCTGCTGGACCCAATACCCACACTGTTTGGCGGAGACCCCAATCATCAATGATCTTGCTTCCCTGACTGGATCCCCCATTTCTGTTCCATCCACGGCCACCTTCCAATCTGCTTGCTGCTACGACCTTTTGGTCGGTTTCCCTACCCGCCCCTCCCCTCCCTCTCTTTCTCTCGGGCTTGTGCTACCACATCTTCTGTCCCCCCGTCCTTTCCAAACCCCTGCTACTACTACTCTCGCTTTCTGATGACTACTGCCCCCTCCTACTTTTTCTCTCCCTCTCTCCCGCACATACATTCTATTTCTTCACCTGCCCGCCTTTCCAAGTCTTGCTCAGCGTCTGACCTCCTTCAGACCATTTCCGTCCTTACGTGCCGGCCGCTTCAGTCGCCGTCTCCCGACCTTTCAACTTCCCCGCTTCACTGTGGCCGGAGCGGTGTTCTCTCCGGCCCTTCTTTCGCCAGCATGGCTGAGAGTGCATTCCCCAGCGCCCAACAACCCCTCCGGGTGGGCACAAAAGACGACAAAGCCGCTGCTTTTCAGAAGATCTCCGAGGAGGACGAATACGAGGTGACGTCACCAACCGATCCCACTTTTCGATCTGCCAACGCCGCTGCCGCATCCTCGTCGACCGGCAGCCCTTTCTTCGGTGGTGGTTATGGCGATAACAGCGGTCCAATTCGTTTCAACAGGAGTCCCTTCGACAATGGGCCCAGAGAGGAGGACGAGGAGGGTGCCGACGAGTTCCCTCCAGAAGACATCCGCCCCACGGGCGCCGCGAATCAGGGATTCCCTAATAACTACGCGCTGGGCCGCCGGACATCGGTTTCTGCAGAGTCACTGAACCCGACCTCGGCTGGCTCAGATAGCTGGACTCCCCCGTACCATGAGAAATCAGAGGAGCAGCTGGCTCGGCTGAAGACCGCGGTCAGCAGCAACTTCCTCTTCTCGCACCTAGATGATGACCAGTTCAAGAGTGTGCTCGATGCCCTGGTGGAGAAGCCTATCCCCGCCAAGGGTATCAAGGTCATCAGCCAGGGTGATGCTGGAGACTACTTTTACATCGTAGAGAATGGCCACTTTGACTTCATGATCCACCCGTCGGGCTCTGTGCAACCCGGTCCGGAGGGCATGGGCAACAAAGTCGGTTCCGTTGGACCCGGAGGCTCGTTTGGAGAGCTGGCTCTCATGTACAATGCGCCTCGCGCGGCCACCGTTGTGTCGGTGGACCCGAAGAGCACCCTCTGGGCCTTGGACCGCATCACTTTCCGCCGAATCCTCATGGACTCGGCCTTCCAGCGCCGTCGCATGTACGAAGCATTCCTTGAGGAGGTGCCGCTGCTGTCCAGCCTGAAGCCGTATGAGCGTGCCAAGATCGCCGATGCTCTGGACGCCATCAAGTATCCTGCTGGCTCTACGATCATTAACGAGGGCGACCCAGGTGATGCCTTCTACCTTCTCGAATCCGGGGAGGCGGAGGCCTTCAAGAATGGTGTGGAGGGCCCTGTGAAGTCCTACAAGCGCGGCGACTACTTTGGTGAGCTAGCCTTGTTGGACGACAAGCCACGGGCCGCAAGCATCGTGGCCAAGACAGAGGTGAAGGTGGCGAAACTGGGCCGGGATGGCTTCAAGCGCTTACTCGGCCCTGTGGAAGATATCATGCGACGAGCGGAATATGAATCTAAACCTGTGCCCGCTTGAGAGGCGTAATGGGTCATAAATACACGAAATCCTTGGCGAAGAGGGAGGGAGTTCTGTGTGGGACAATGTGGTGACTTTTTCTATCTCTTTCTTGTGTCGTTAATTCGCCTATCTATGCTCTTGGTTGGACGGACCAATCGGGGAAACCTGTTGGTCTGGAAATCTACGACAGATGGCTGAAAAAAAGGATCCCCTATTCATCGGCGAAACATTTGGGTCGTGTTTTACTATCGGCATCGCGGGGGGGTTGTGTATGTCTCTGGACTGTTCATACACGGGTTATATTCATGGCCGAGTCGCGCAGGAAGCCGCAGCCACCAGGCTGCTCACTTCGTTCGCTGCGATCGGACGCGTGTGTCATTGATAAACCACCTGGGTTATTCCTGTCTTTTGCCGTTTTTATGTTTATAATAGCTCATTGGCTACGAAGGATACATATATGGTTGACATGTACGACAAGTGCTTGACAGTGTCGATAGGATGCGTAAGATGATATTTATAATTTAGCATAGCCTCCAAAGCAGCAGACTCTGTATCTGTAAATTGTAATGATAGCTAAGCCCTTTGTAGATCATCGTGCAACCACCAAATCACTCCTCAACACCCACTTCTCCCCCTCCCGCACCTCCTTCCCCTCATGCAACATACACCGATCTCCATGCCGATGCAGCAGCGCCATCCCCGGCACTGGAGCCACCGACACAGGCTCCGGATTGCGATTAGACCGGGTCGCCTCTGGATAGAAGACGGTTTCCCCTCCCTCACAGCTCGTCAAGTAGATAAGGAGCGTCCAAGTGGTGCGGGCCGCACGGGGCGGACGACCGGGCGAGGAGAAAGTGATAGCATTGGAATCGTCATCTACGGTAGGAGCAGCTATCAGCATACTGAATTACTTTTTTTGACTAGGAGTTGACTACGAAAACATCCTTCTACAACCAGAGCCTTTCCCACCTCTACCCCCGGTATACCATGATTTTTTAAAGAAAGAAGGATAATGGGAAGAGGGGATAGGATAGACTCACAATGTTTATCAAAGAACTGCCCCTTTGAATACCGATAAATACGGATATTCCCATTCAGCCCAATGGGTTCCCCGCCCCAGGTATCTTTCATGTCTCTCGTCACTGCTTCCTCTTCTTCTTCTTCATCTTCATCATCACCCCCCGCATTCAGAACCATCTCCTTCAACGCCGTCCCCGACCAAAGACCCTCCGCGAACCCCTCATCCTGGATCTGAAACCGATCATTGACTCGCACTGCATCGCCCTTTTTGGGTTTGCCGGGTGTGGTGGTCAGTGGCAGGGAGGCCAAGAATGAAGTGTAGGTTTTGCAGAGCGTCGAGGGGAAGAAGTTCCGGATGAGGTAGATTTGGTCGGGGACGAGAGAGTCGAGGGTCAGAGAGGTTGAGGGGATGAGTGGGCGGAGAGGGGGCCAGTTGGGGGGTTGCTGCCGCTGCTGCTGGTGTTTTTGTTGGAGATGGGATTTGGGGGTGGATGAGGGGGGCTGCTGCTTGGAGTTGGATGTCTTTTTAGGCATTCTTTTCGTGGGGATATTGGGGAGGGGTGGGTGGTGATGTGTATGGTGATGGGAGTGAGAGTCGGTGAGGAGATAGATAACTAGTTGGACAGATGGATAATGAGTCAGTAGTAAGTAGGAGTGACTAGAATCGTAGTCGTGAAGTACTATGCAGGTCGGTCTGATTTGTCGGTCCGGGATGGGGAGTAAAAAAAAAGTTCCCAGGTAAGTTACTTTACTAGTGGGTGGTATAGTATGGGGTCAAGTTCAGGTACGGAAACAGTGAATGAAGGCCCGTGATACGTTCCCGGGTGGTAATAACCATGCTGGTACAGTAAGAATGCTGCTACTGCATAGAAGCATGTCAAAATTACCGTCACAAGATGGCAGAAAATTTATGAAAAACCGACCGGGGCGTGACGGGCCCAGCCAGTCACAGGGCGAGTAGGACGGGGCCCTCAGCCTCACCGCCCTCGACTTCTGCTCCTCCTCCTCCTCCTCTCCCAGCCCGTCGTCCTTCTCCAATCCCCCTCCGCCCTCAAGACCTGCCCGCCGGTCATGTCGTCGTCGCAGACCATGACAGCGTCTGCGGTGGGCCATCGTCCGCCAGATGCTGCTCCAAATATGTCGTCCGTGTACGACTACGCCCGCTCCCAGCAGCAACACGACGACCAACCGCACCCCTCCCCGCCCAGCGACTCCGCAATCCGCC